ACTTTAACCTGTGAAGAACAGTTTCAAGAACAAAATAAGGATTGCCACCCTACCCCCACCCCACTCCCAGGAGATAGAAAGCTCACTTTTGTTACAGTTGTGAGGAAAGACACATTTGGCAGACTGTGCTGGTGAGAACAAAGCTCAGGAAGGAGAGAGGGAGCTCACCTTCCAAGTGGCAGAAGATATACCTTCTTTCTCCAATCTCAGAATGGAAAATTTCCAGCTACATCTTTCCTTGTTGAATCCTAATGCTACTATGTTTGACCTCAAGTTTTACTGCCCTAGTGGAGCTCATGACTGACTGTCTGGGTTGGGGTGGCAGTGGGGCCCCAGAGCAGCAACTCAAAACTCTTCTGGTAACTACAAAGCTAGGGAAAGTCAGACCTCTGCATCCAAAAGGGCTTCAGAGCTGAGTCACTCTAACCTCACCAAAGGAGAAGGGAGGGAAGGGGTGGGCCTCAAGACTGGAAAGACTCAGGTGCCATGAGCAAATAGTGTATTGTGTTTACTCTTCCCTTCACTCAACACTCTGAGGGGCGTTATGTAACACACTTGTTGAGATGTTAAATATGTCTGTGGAGGAATACAGGATGGGGGGAGGCAAAGCTAATTTGTTATTTATGACATTCTCTGTCTTCTGACAACTGGAACTCTCTTGTTTGAAAGGTAATGAGTGTGAAAATGGAAATTACTGAAAAAAAAAGATGGGTGAGGGTTGTCCAGAAGGAAGGTGGCAGAGATCATAGAAAAGGAGGAAATCCAAGCTTGTGGCTGGAGAGAGGCCCAGAGAGAGTGCGTCTGGCAAGAAAAGAGGAGTAGCTGAGGGAGGAGCTGAGGCAAGACAACAGAGATGTTTAAAGGGAATTGTTATGGAGTTTTGCGGTATTCGATGCCATGTAATTCTCTCTCTGTGAAACCTTCAATAAAATCTCCATTTATCAGTGCTTTGGGATTTGTTGCAGAAGAGGAGCTCAAAGTGCTGAGCCCATACCTAGTCAAAGGACCCAGCTGTATTCAGGGGCTGAGTGTCTCATTCTAAAGGATGAGGGAGGTGTGCATGGCTTCACAGTCAGTGGAAGAGAGAGGAAAGAATCAGAGAAGACCCCACAGGAGAGGTAGCATCAGAGAGGAGCCTTTAAAAAGGACCAACATTTTTACTACAATTGGGAACAGGGGAAATTCAAGTATGAGAGACCAAGAGCGGAGGTGGAGAGGTCTGAAAGTGTTTGCAGCAGGTCATGTGAAAGTGTTTAGGGAGTGATGATTGTCTGCATGGGGAAAAAGAGTAGGCTGGAGAGAGAGAGAAAAAAAAAAAGAATCGCTGGAGGAATTACAGATGCTTGGCAACCTTAAACCTTAGAAACCGTCAGGGATGCTCTGGAAAGCAAAACAAGGACTGTCATGTGTTATTCGCAAGAAGACAGAACATGGAACGATATATCCCTAAAAGGAGAGGCTGCCCCCACTCCAGGTATCTGCCTCCTTCAAATGACCAGGCCAACCTGGATTGTAAACACTGCATAAAATAAATCACATTAGAGTTTAATCTCGTTTGATTTCAGAAGATTCTCCCTGGACTTGACAGCTCTGCTTATATTCCAGTCCCAGCTGAGAAAATGGCTGCTACCTGGCCATGCTCACTGACTTGTGGGGTAGGCATAACTTCCAGAGTCCTTGACCTATGCTGAAACCACTCAAGCTCTGGCTGCTTGAGGTGCTCCCACACCCACCAGTAAGCCTCTGCTGTCTCCAGGGCTGCC